TACCTGTCCTTCGACACCTCCCCGCCCCCATCTGCAGGGTACCTGTCCTTACACCTCCCTACCCGCTGTCTGCAGGGTGCCCTGCGGGAGCCGTCCGTGGAGTCCCTCTGTCTGTCTGAGCGGAGCAGCCTGCTGTCCGAGGTCCAGGCCCTGCGGGCCCAGCTGCGCATGACGCACCTGCAGAACCAGGAGAAGATGCAGCAGCTGTGCGCCGCGCTCACCAGCACAGAGGCCCGCGGGAGCCGCCAGGAGCACCAGCTGCGCAGGCAGGGTGTGTAGGCCCCGCCCCCCGTGCCTGTGCGTCCTGGCATCGTGCCCACGTCCACTAGCACGTACCCATTCAGTGAGCGACGCACAGCTGACCAAGGCCCCGGGGCGCCTCGAGGCTGCCCGTCCACAGTACATGCATCGCGCCGTCCTAGGGCAACAGAGAGGGACCCTCTGAAAACAACATGCGTGTCTTTGTGAGACGTGAAGGACAGCAGTGCCGCCTTCCTCGGGTGATAGGGCTCGGGGTGAAGTGACCGGGGGCTGGGGGTGGCCGAGGGCACACTGCACGGCCAGGCTTCCTTCTAGAAGATTCCTGGGGCCCCCCGAGGCCAGGAGCGTCGTGTCACGTCACTGCACTTGAACCTGGTTTAGATCCTGTGTGGTGAAGGTCACGTTTTCTGAGCAAAGGACGCATCTTGGTTTCCTGTCCCACCTGGATGCCTTTACTTCTACCTCTTGCCTTGTCGCTCAGACCCCCAGTCTGCCGTGCTCAGACCCCTGAGGGTGGCGTCTTTGCCCTGCTCTTGGGAGTGTCTGCCTCTGACTGACGTGGGCCCCCGGTGTCGGTCTGGCACAGGCAGGGTTGTGCCGTGTGGAGTGGAGGAGCGTGTGGCCCTGGCGGCCATCGTGGTCTATGGCCCTTTTGTGAAGCCGGGTCTCATTTGCTGACGCAGGTGTTTGTGTGTCTGTCTGTGAGGGTCTGGCTGTTGTTCTGCGTCTTGCAGAGCCTTTGTCTGGCTGTGGTGGCCGGGTGATGCTGGCGCCCCAGAAGGGTTAGGACTGGTCCCTCCTCGTCTGTCTCCACAGGAGTTTGAATCATGGCGCTGTCTGAAGTTTTTTTCCCACTTTATATGTTTTATTGGGAAGGAAATATATGCAACGAAGCCTTCATCAGTTCAAGAGTCTCCATGTGTACAATTCAGTGACGTTGATTCTGCGCTTCGGGTTGTGTTACTGTTCTCACCATCCTTTTCCAAATCCTTCCCACCATTGACATAAACCCAGCGCTCCCTAAGCAAAAACACCTCCTTCCGCCTCTCCCACCCTGGTAACCACTAGTAAGTTTTGGCTTCTGTGTATTTTTTTATTTTGTGTAAGTGAGATTATACAGTATTTGTCCTTTTGTGACCGACTTAATTTCACTCAGCATGATGCTTTCAGGGTGCATCTGGGCGTGTGCGTCCGTGCTGTGGCGTGTGCGTCCGTGCTGAGGCGTGTGTGTCCGTGCTGTGGCGTGTGCGTCCATGCTGAGGCATGTGTGTCCGTGCTGTGGCGTGTGCGTCTGTGGTGAGGCGTGCATTAAGACTTCCTTTCTCTTCCTGGCTGAGTCGTGGGCCATTTACGAATGTTCCACGTTTTCTTTATCCGTTCGTGTTGACGGACGTTCCCGTTGATTTTACCTTTGGCTGTTATGAGAAGTGCTGCAGTGCGCGTTGGTTTACAGGTTTCTGTTTGCGTTTCTGCCTTCACTTCTGCGTATATGCCTTGGATGGGATTGCTGGTCATATGGCAATGCTGTGTTCAACTTTTGAGGAACCACCAAACCCTTTTACACAGTGGCTGCACCATTTTACATTCCTACCAGCAGTGGATGAGGGTTCCAGTTTTTCCACCACCTTGTCAACACCTGTTATTTTCTGTTGTTTTGATCATTGCCGTTCTAATAGGGGTGAGGTGGTGTTTCTTTGTGCTTTTGATTTGCATCTCCCTAATGGCTAATGAAGGAACCCTGGTGGCGCAGTGGCTAAGCGCTCAGCTGCTAACCTAAAGGTTGGTGGTTCAAACTCACCAGCCTGCTCTGTAGGAGAAAGATGTGGCAATCTGCTTCTGTGAAGATACACAGCCTTGGAAACCCTATGGGGAAGTTCTACTCTGTTCTGTAGGGTCTGCTTCTGTGAAGATACACAGCCTTGGAAACCCTATGGGGAAGTTTGACTCGTTCTGTAGGGTCTGCTTCTGTAAAGATACACAGCCTTGGAAACCCTCTGGGGAAGTTGTACTCTGTTCTGTAGGGTCGCTGTGAGTTGGAATCGAATCGACGGCAGCGGGTTTGGTCTTTGGAATTGGCTCGTGTCGTTGAGCATCTTTCCACGTGCTTGTTGGCTGTTTGATTACAGTCTGGTTAAATGTCTGTTCAGGTCTTCTGCCCATTTTTTGAATTGTTTGTCTTTTTGATGTGAAGTTGTAGAAGCTGTTTTTACGATCTACTTTGGACATTAAACCATTATTGGATGTTTGGTTCCCGGAAATGTTCCCCTGGTCTTTAGGTTGTCTCCTCACTTTGTTGACAAGTCCTTTGAGTTCCAAAAGTAGCTGTCATGAGGTCCTGCTCATCTGTTTTGTCTTTGCTGCTCAGGCTTTTGTTGTCTCTCCCTGAGCGCTGGCGGCATTCGCCAGTGGAGCCACCTGGGGTTGGGCCGTCCACGGCAGCGCCCAGGCTTCGCTCTGAGCCGCCGTCTGTCTCGGCCCCTGCCCCGCCTCCAGGGAGACCCCAGCCCTGAATGGTTCCAGAAGAGCGTGTTGCCCCACCAGTCTGGCACCCCCAGCTGGAAGTGGAGGCCTGGAAGGAAAAGGAAGTTACAGGAAGGGGGCTCAGGGCAGACCCAGTGCAGAGTGGCGGTGGGTGGCACGCAGGAGGAGAATGTGCTGAGGGTTTTAACTGCAGTAGGAGCCATGGGCTTCTCGTTACAGAGGGTCACCCCCCGAAGGAAGACAGCCCCAGGCCATGGGAGTGTTTTTCACTTCCTGAGTCACCTGTGCAGCTCACTGGGGGCTAACGAACGCCACTGCTCCGCGTTTTCTCACCCTCTCTCAGTTGAGCTGCTGGCGTACAAGGTTGAGCAGGAGAAGTGCATAGCCAGCGACTTACAGAAAACGCTGAGCCAGGAGCAGGAGAAGGTGACTGGCGTCCGGAAGCTGCTTGTGTCGGAGCAGAACGCCGTCAGGGATCTGAAGACCGAGCTCTGCGAGTGTAAGCAGGAGAACGAAAGGCTGCTCAAGTCCCTGAGTGACGTGCAGAAGGAGGTCCTCCAGCTGAGGTAGGGAGACGGTGAACCGCTGTAGGTGCACGTCGCTGACTGGCCCCCGTCGTTACTAACTTCCACGAGATAGTGAATTGATATGTGTATAATGGAAGTGAGAGCTCCTGCCACACGTTTCCTGGCGTCTGAGGAAAGTAAAACGTGGTGCGCCATGAACCGTGCTGGGTGCTACTTAGCTCTAAGGTAGCGCCTGCTCTGACTGGGTGTGTGGCCGTGGGAGAAGGGTCCCCCAGTGCTGACAGTGAGACGGTGATGGGTCTCCTCCGGCCCACCGCTCGGCCAGTGCCGGTCCGTCCACATGTCCCCGCAGAGCGCTCTGACGCGGTGTCTCCGGTTGCCGTCCCCCCAGGTCCATGCTGGACAGCAAGGAGAAGGACCTGGAGGCCGCGCTCAAGGAGCTGGAGGCCGAGCGCAGGAAGGAGCACGCCCTGCAGAGCCAGCTGGAGGAGGAGCAGCTCCAGCACCTGCAGAAGGAGGGCCAGAGCTCCCAGGCCCTGGAGGTAACTCAGGGTGGCGGGGCTGCCCCTCCCTCACTGGTACCCTCTTGGCGCGCCCTGGGGGCCGGATGTGTGAGCGTGTGGCAGCACTCGGGCGACGGCGGGGGCCTGGGGCGGGGGCAGAGCTATGTTTCAGGTCAGAGAGTTACCATCTCTGTGATGGGACACATCAGGGCCCCAGAGGGGTGATGCCAGCAGTGGCTGTGTGGGCCAGCCTGCTCCCCGCGGCAGCCTCGTGCTCCCAGAAGGTGGGCAGCAGCCTCCCCTCGGCAGCCTCGTGCCTCCAGAAGGTAGGCAGCAGCCTCCCCTCGGCCGTAGCTGGTCGTCGGCCGGCGAGGTCCCTACACAGGGTTCAGGGCGTCGTTGTGACGCAGCTTCTCCGCAGCGGAGCTTGTGCCAGTGAGTGCATGCTCTGTTTGGTGGTTTTGGTGCTCACCTGTGCAGGACAAGCTTAGCGGACATGCCGTGAACGATGGTGAAGTATCCTTCCAAAACACACAGGTTTTGGTTCTTGACATCCAGGGCGTGTGTTTGTGTGAGCGTCCTGGGAGGAGGTGTGTCTGCAGCCCCCAGGCACGCGTGTGCCCTTACCTGCACCACTTCGCAGAGAGCACCCGGCTGGGCCTGAGG